CCCCAAGATAACCCAAGATAACTTCTTGAGATCTGTGGCTTTCGTTTCGAGCCAGAAAGGCGAGAACTTTGGTGGGTTTTTTGTGTGCTTGTGGCTAGACGGTTTCTGGGTTTCTCTTTAAGTGTGTTGAGATCTCACTAGTGCCAGGAAGAAAAGAAATGGCGAGTAAATGGAGGAAAGCCAAGCTTGCTTTGGGCTTAAATCTGTGTGTCTACGTCCCCAGAACTCTGGAGGAGCCGCCCTCCAATAATCTCGATGCTTCGACCGATAGATTGTCAAATGCTGCCTTGCTTTCGCCAGGGAATTGGGACGGGGATGGTCCAAGGCCCATGACGCCAACTCCTTCCTCTCGTGGCTTGAAGTTGTATAGGAGCGGAAGCAAGTCGTCCAAGGTTTATTCTCTCTGTCTCATTCAATTTCGACGGTCTCTTTTGTTGGTCTATAACGGAGTTGGGAAAGTTTTAGTAAAGTTGTCTTTTTTAGTTTCTTTGGTCTTTTGGGTTTCTTTATATGATTTTGGTAATTGCACAAACTGAAAATCTCAGTTCGGACATGGAAACTGACATTTTCTAAGCTACGTTTGGTTTTGGGTTAATTTTTGGAGTGGAAGGCGTTTTTTGTTGTTGGATTAGTACCGTCGATTGCTTGTCCATTTTGAGTTCAGAGGGAAGTTTCTGGTTCTTATGCATACTGATGGGGACAGGGGAAAGATCTACGTACTTTCTTGATCTACTATGTGGCATGTGATTGCAGCTTTTGTTTCATCTTCCGTTTCCTGCTTCTGACGATTTGTTGGACTAAATATGACACTGTTCGCTGTGCTTGGAAGCATAAGCTCTTGTTCTGTGCCCATCACAACTGTTGAATTAAAAAATTGTCTTCATTGCATATTCATTTTAATGCTACTCTGAGAAGCACCGGCTGGTGATTTATGCCTGCTTCTGGCTCTAGTATATTTTCTTTTTGGATGTGTAGATCTTTTATGTGTTTGAAGATTAGTTCATTAGTCCCTTGCAGGAGTAGTGCTACTTTGCCTTGGTCTGTCAAGAATAGCATTACTTTCCCGCTGTTTGATGTGGAAAAGTAGCTTTTTTCGTGTTCGTGTATGTCGACTGTTCGTTTTTGAAACTTTCTGGCAAATAAGCCAATGACTTAAAGGTGCTTATAAAAAAGCAGCATGAATTGGAAATTTAATGCTGAAATGCAGTAACTTGAATTGGGCCGATTGCTAGTTCTTGTAGAGTTGGGAGTTGCCTCTGCCTTTTGGTTTTACTTTCTGCAGAATGTTCAATGAAGATCTCCTGCAAGTTAAACATCTTTGGGTGTTACTTTGCTCCTTGATGCGTTTTCTCCTATTTCGAAGCTTGTTATATGCATAGCCTTAACTAACCTTCAGTTTATATTAACACTAACCTCAAGTCCATCAATTAAGCCTTTTCTGGCTTATCCCTTTTGGTTATCTGCAGTATGCTCTTCTTGCAGTATCAAATATAGCACTTTCTTCTTTTTCGCTGTGTTGCAATTGTTACTGACTCTTTACTCCCATGTTTAGCAGACTTGCTCCATTTGCTTGAACAAAATAAAACAAGGAGGAGGCCACGCTATATTCACTGCAGAGTGTTCCCACTCGTTCCATTTCCACTGCATAGCTTCAAATGTCAAGTATGGGAACCAAATCTGCCCAGTCTGCCGGGCAAAATGGAAAGAGATCCCATCACAAGTACCGTGTCTGGACGCTATCCCGCGAAGTGCGTCGAGAAATCCTGTACGTTGGGCCCACGACGATGCTGTGGTGACCATGCTTCGTCCTCCGCCCCGACGTGATTCGCACCGGCGCCACATTGTTCCCCTATTCCAGGCTCCAGAGCCTGGAGTATTTGATGATGACGAACCCTTTGATTTCCAACCTGCAGTCGCAGAAAAGAACTCCTGTAGTGAAGTTGCAGGTGGGAATTCCTCAAGAACTTTGGAGGTCAGGGTGTATCCTGAAGTTTCAGCTATGCCACGGTCCAATTCTCGAGACAACTTCTCTGTCCTGGTCCATCTTAAGGCAGTTGCAGCTGCTGGGAGACAAAACCCAAGTCAGAAAAATGTTAGCTTCCCACAAGTCGCGCAAACCCCACGTGCTCCCATTGACCTGGTTACGGTGCTTGACATCAGTGGTAGCATGGCGGGTACTAAACTAGCACTGCTAAAACGTGCCATGGGGTTTGTTATTCAGAACCTTAGCTCAGCCGATCGACTCTCGGTGATATCATTTTCCTCCACTGCTCGGCGCCTCTTCCCCCTCCGCCGCATGTCTGACGTAGGACGGCAGCAGGCACTTCAAGCCGTGAATTCCTTGGTGGCAAATGGTGGGACCAACATTGCCGAAGGCCTAAGAAAGGGTGCTAAGGTAATGGCTGACCGGAAGCAGAAAAACCCAGTGGCAAGTGTTATACTGTTGTCCGATGGACAAGATACTTACACCATCAGCGGTTCTGGCGAAAATCGTCCTCAACCAAATGGTCACCCACTTCTCCCCTTGTCCATCAACGGAAGTGACAACAGTGGGTTCCAAATACCTGTGCATACTTTTGGATTTGGCACTGATCATGACTCTTCAGCTATGCACTCTATATCAGAGACATCTGGAGGCACATTCTCCTTCATCGAGACAGAGGCTGCGATTCAGGATGCCTTTGCACAATGCATCGGTGGCCTACTCAGTGTTGTTGTGCAAGAGTTGCAAGTAAAGATCGAATCTTTGCACCCAAGCTTGAAAATTAGTTCTCTAAAAGCCGGAAGTTACCCAAGCCGCATAATGGCCGATGGATGCTCGAGTAGCATTGATGTGGGTGACCTCTATGCTGATGAAGAGAGGGACTTTCTGGTTTCTATCAACATTCCCGCAGAGGCTTCAAGCTCCGAAACATCACTTTTGAATGTCATGTGCATATATAGGGATCCTTTAACGAAAGAGTTTGTTTCGACTGAAGGCGAAGAAGTCACGATAAAGAGACCTGAGATAGCCGGAGAAGAAATTGTCTCAATAGAGGTTGATAGGCAGCAAAACAGGGTCCGAGCAGCGGAGGCGATGGCGCAGGCTCGTGCTGCAGCTGAGCAAGGAGACCTGGCTGTTGCTGCTTCTATTCTTGAGAACTGCCGTAGGGTTCTTTCCGAATCCTTGTCAGCTAAATCTGGTGACCGCCTGAGCATCGCTTTGGACGCCGAGCTCAAGGAAATGCAAGAGAGAATGGCAAGCAGGCATGTTTATGAGGCTTCAGGTCGAGCATATATCCTCTCTGGACTAAGCTCGCACTCGTGGCAGCGAGCGACTGCCAGAGGCGACTCCACCGATAGGTCCAGCCTCGTCCAGGCCTATCAGACGCCGTCCATGGCTGAGATGCTCACCCGGTCTCAAGCTACATTACTAGGTAGCCCTTCAGCCCAGAGGCTAATGCAACCACTATTATCGCTTGGGTCGCACCCGAAGCCGAGGTAGCTACGTAAGATTTCGGTTTATGTGTTGTCTAGTGGCTTTTCAAGTGCCTGTTTTTTGTTGTACCGTGGGGGTGATCAAGCCAAGGGGTTTGAATCGGCACGATTGGGAGAGGCTCTTTTTGAGATTTGGCCATGCTTTTATGTGTAAATGAATAAGATTCGAGGGAAGGGAAAGAGGGTATTAGTGGGGGGAAGTCGCAAGGAATACTTGGTAGGGTTTTAAGACATTTTTGTTTCGGTCCGTCTGTTGTTTTTCTGGGGGTGATGATGTACATAAACAGAACTGGGCTCTCTTTTGGAGAATTGGGTATAATGTTTGTAATTGTGGCAAAGGTGATATAATGTACCTCCTCTTAATTCTTTTGATATTACTCTTCTAGCACGTCTCTTTCTCTCTCCCTGTCTGTGTGTAGGAGAATACATTGACTGGTTGGGGAGCATAATTGAACGACCTGTCATACGAGGCAGTTCATATATTGATATTGACTCAATACTGGTTAACTTTAACCCAATCGGAAAACCCTTTTTACCTGTAGAATTCAAAGATGTTTTTCAAGTTTGAGGAAATCATGGGAACAACTGGAAGCAACTTTAAATGCTACTGCTCATGTCTTTCAAAAGACCATTTGGGACGTTCCACATTGACAATCGAATTCTTTTTTGAGCCACCGAGTTTCGATTTCTTTTCAAACTCGTTCGATCAAAAACTCATCCGCTTAGGCCTTTGGAATAACCTGGACGAGACATTTCACTACTGGATACTTTAACTCGAGCAAGTATGGCGAGCTCATGAACGACTGGTCAAAGCAAGTATGGCGAGCTCAAACTCAGCGCAAATCGATCCATCCAGGCTCGAGTTAAGCTCAAATTGGAGCTTTGAATATGTTCGGAAGATTATTCATGCGAGTACAGTACATTAACATGCAAATTGGTTTCATATTTCCATTAGGTTCCTTAACCATTGAGAGGCTCTTTTGCTGTCGTAGTAATTGGCGAAACGAGTGCTAAACTGTGGCATAACTGGAGATCAATTTTGGCAGGTTATATATAAATAAAATAAAGATGACACGGAACTTCTAATTAGTCATAGATTCTACAGATGAAGATCATGCCCACTAATGCTTTCCCTCAAATATCATCCATCCAAACTGAGCTGATCCACAGAATTACAGCTGCTCAGTATTGAGCTCATCCAAAGTGATTCATGAAGGTAACATCCAAACGTTTGGCCAATGCGTCTAAAATGAGATCATCTTTACAATAAAAAATTGAGACCGCTATCCACCCGGCTCAACACAATCATTAAGTTATGGCCAGTTTTCAAAGTATAATAATAGGACCAACAGGTAATGAACATCAACGAGACAACTAAGTCTTGTCTTGTATGATCTCAATCAAAGTCATCAAGATGATTAAAGTTTCCTCACAAACTCACCACTGGATTAGTTCAGTTCAGTCATCTAAGAAGACCAGCATATTGAGGGATTACTATTGTCAGGCCGAAAAATATTATAGACACAAATTACACTAGAGATTACTATGCGCAAACTTATTCCATCCAAAACATTTTGCATATGGTTTATCAGCCATGTGACTAATATAAGTTTGTGGGCAAAAATTCCAAAAGGAGAGTGAAAGGCCAAAGAGGGAATGTTTCAGCAGCTGCTACATCCTTTGAACTGTCACAAGCCATTTGCCTTTGAAGGCCACAGCTAGCTTGACTATGCCGAAGGTCAGATGAAAATTTCCCTTGTGCACGATACTTGTTATGACAGCCTTCTCTCACAAAGCCTATAAATCGGCGGATATGCCAACCCAAAAAGCCAGATAAACAAAAAACTATCCTAACTTAGGTCCTCCCCGTGTTTTCTTTAAATCACCGCTGGCCAGACTTGCCATCATTTGGTCGAGGAAGTTTCCTGTATTCATAATCGTTGATGTTGACCTTCTCTTGGAAAGCCTGAAAACCAGAGAAATGTGCTGATTAGATGTGAACCACAAGGCAAGAGAGAACTTACCTTAAGGGTCCTAGCTAAAGGATCATACCTTCAGCTCCTCCTCTAATGAGATCTTTTTAGGCTTGTATGCTTCTATTGGTCCTGTTCGTGACAGAGCTTTTCTTTCCTCGATGATCTCCCACTCATTGTCGTCTTTCACTTTTGCAATATCCTTGCTGAACTACAAGAATCAGATAGCTTTGAGAAGACGTAGGACATGCGACAAAATCTGATTAACACAACGAGAGTGGACCAACATTTCAGCAAAAGAAACAAAAAAAGAGTGTACCAACGGTTGCCCATATCCAAGACCTTAGACATGACAACCAGTATAATCATATTACAAAGGCGAGCCTATATAGGTAGACAATGATGTAAGGTCTTCATGGTAGGCATTTAATGGATAAGCATGTCGTTCAAACTTCAAATAATAAACAGAAAAGCAAGAAATACAAAAGAATGTCAGGTTCTAACATCATGAGGGTCCAAACCGCAAAACAATGTTTTATGTCAAAGTTAAACCACTGTGTGAATAACCAAAATCGCTAAACTCTGAGAAACACAGGCAATTGTCTGAACATGAATTGCTCGCCGAGCACACTCCATCTCAGACGAGCACACCAAACAGAAACAATCATATCATTCGTCGTTCAAGCACACCAGTTAAGAAATAAGCAATTAGCTCTAAAACAAAGGAGAAAGAACCCAAGTCTAGTCAATTCCCACAAACAACATAAGCAAAAAAGAAGGAAAAACACGATTTTGGTCCCTCTCACAAAGTAAATCCATCACGTTTCATACTCAGCAGCTTACCAATCGAAATCATGACTTAGTGACATAATTAGAACAAGGAAGAATCTAACCTGCCTTGCAAGAGATGGGCAAGTCCAACAGAGCCAAGAACAGTGAGAGAAATCATGGGGAGGCCATATCTGATGAAGGGATACTTCCTACCCCATCTCTTGAACGAAGCACCTGAGCTCTCAACCGCCATGCCACTCTTATTCTTTGGTGGGTCTTCCCTCCTCGTCTCAATCGTTGTCATCACTGCAAAGAAAATCACCCCAATTGCCCCCGGGTCAACTCACAACCGCACACACGTGCTCCCACCCCAAAAAGGGAAGCATTCCAACACAGACCGAAGCTGTGCAAGTTGAAAATCCAGAGACCCTCCAATCCGAAACCGAAAACACGCAAGCCGAGCACACGAAACAAGAACGATCGAACGAGTACAGACAGTTTCCAGTGAAAAGATCAGATATTCCTGTTTTTCTTTTACTAATTTCAAGCAGGACCCAGCACGACAAAATCTCATTTCAAGATCGAGACAGATCAGAGAAAGCTCACTGACCCGAAATGGAAACTGCGCAGAACTCGACCTGAAGCGAATCCTTGTGATCCTTCTGGCGTTCTTCGTCGGAAATTTCTTCAGCGTTGAGGTCTCTGGAATGCTTTGCACCGGAGAGAGAGAGAGAGAGAGAGAGAGAGAGGGAGATTGATGACTAATCTTTTAATAAAAATCAAAGGAAAACTAATATTCTTAATAAAATACTCGTATTTATACATGAAATATACACGTATGGTACATGAATTTCAATAAAATTTCCCACGTGGCAAATTCGTTGTTCTTACGAAGGAAAACGAATTACATAGTATTGCTCGTGTAAGGTTAGCTTCGATTTTTATCTTATGTGGTATTGAATCTTTGGTTAATTAAACAATAAAGTACGTGGATTATCATACTCGGAGAAATGGTTATGGCACATCATTTTCACAAAAGTGAACAAAATGTGATTTTTACTTAACATTAGATTGTTAAGATGAAGTGATGGCGAAATTCAATTATCATATACGATATAAAAAAATATTATCATTAAAATGATTGTGTTTTGATACACAACCTCTTTTGCATTTTAAGACAGTTGATGTAAATTTATGATGATATCATCTTTGGATCTCGTTATTATAATGCTGAATTCGTTTTCCACGTATTTTTAGGAAAATAAATATACATGCTATATAGTACCCAGTATGTATAAGACTAACGACTGGTTTAGAAGTAAGTATTTATTCTATTTTATTTGGCAAAATGCGAAGATAGCAACTAATTGTTCATTATGCAAACACGGTTAATCATGAATTATCTCTAAATTATGAAAAAAAATGCAAAAAAGAAATACATTTTAGGCTTTAAACACCTCAACCAAATTGTAAATGATTCTACATGTCAAAATCTAATGACCATCTTGCAATAGTATAATTTATAAAATTCCAATAACTTGGTCCGGTTTGTGAACTAGTTTATAGTTATGGTTTCCATATTTTAGAAAGTTTAGATCCACAAAAAAATTTGACCTCACATGTCATTACAACTCTATAGAGAAAATTGAACCATAAATCCTAAATTTTGCGTTCGGAGTGAAATAAAATCCTAAATCTTTCAATAGGTTCAATTTAGTCATAAACCTTTACCAAAAAATATATTGAAGTCCTAAACTCTATAATTGATTCAATTAAGTCATGCAATCAAATTTTAAAACTTTTTATTAAAGATGTTATTTAAAGGTGCCATGTAGGCAACTTTTAAGTGCCAAGTAAGCAACTTTAGTTTCTATCCATAAAAAGAATTTGATTACACTTTTCGAAAAAAATGTTTAGAATTTAATTGAACCTATTAAAGAGTCTAGAGTTTAATCACATTCCACACGCAAGATTAAGATTTCTCTTACATTTTTTTCGAACTTCATAATATCAACCAATCACTTGTACCGTCGCACGTTGAAAAGACTAATCGACATGTATCCTCTTTAATTTGTATTGTGAATTAATATCTTTATCTTTATTTTGTATTTGTTTTTATCTTTCAAATTTGACGGTCAAATCATTAATTCTTTTCTTAATTAAAATGCTTTCTTTGTTTGTTTTTTGTCATCTGTCTCTCCATATAAAATTATATATGTTATTTAACGAAAAATAACGAAGGGTAAAATTGTCACAAGAGTATCGGTTTGGGATTTTTAGTGGTCAAAAAATTAGTTTGTGGTAAACTTGTCATAAGTGTTCTAGTTTGGGATTTTTCGTCATGTTAAACCTTCTTTTTAATCTTCATTATGACAAATTGAGGAATAAATTATGTCAATTTTGTAAGAGTGCTAACAGAATCCCAAAAATTTCAGAGATCTCAACTTGATAGAGAAGGAAAATTAGCCAAAAAAATATATAGACAATGATGGAATGCAATTTGACATAATTTTGAAATAACATTAGTCCAGATGGTTGGATTGGAGCAGATCAATCATCAATGACTTTTAACTGGCCTTAAGCATCTGATTTTTCCTTTCACAGTGCAGACTAGCAGGATCATGCATCAAACTAGAGAAGAAGACGTCTATAATGTAATCTGCCTCAAGAAGAAAAGCACCCCAGAATCCACAAGTCATTACTAGCTAATGTTAAAAGCTTAAGAGACCAACATTATTTCGATACTGACTGGACATCTCTTCAGTAAATCATCTCGAATCTCCTAATTCACCGTTATTGCGGTCCGTCCTTCCGCTCTCCGGCGGAGCCTTTGGTGGTGCCGAGTCCCTTGCATCGTGTGGCGGTTTGGCGGCATTCGGGTCACTAGTCTTCGGCCTAAATCTGAATCCGAGTTTCTTGAAGAAAATGTTCCAACCCCGTTTATTCCTCAGCACCTTTTGAAGCTCTTCTTTCATGCTCAAGCACTCTTTCTCGAGCTCAAACACACGCTCCTTCATTTCGTCGAACGCAACAATTTGGTTCTGTACGCTGCTTCCCTGACCTGGCCCGTTTGTTCGGGCTAGCGCGACATTCGTGCTCAGGTTTTGCGAGCTCTCGAGATTGTCGGACACGAAGAACCATCCGGAAATAGATGTTCGGAGGCGAAGTTGCTCGAAGAACAGGACTTGGACAATTACTCGGAGAGGAAGCCTTTCGTTCTGAGCAGCATGAGTGCAGGCATCCATGGAGAGCTTCTGGCAATTCATGAGCCTGCATATCTGTTCCCGCTCAGAATCTGTGAGCCATGGATGGGCCTAATAGTAAGAAGCACATTAGTATTTCTATGAGAAATTAATGGGACAAGAATTGGACGTAACATGAGAAGATTGACTCCTGAAATAGAAGCTTAACGGCCAAGAGTGCACTCGCAAGACACATACAGGACAGAACGTTTTAAGTTGATCAATGGCATTTGCCATCTGATTGTACAAATTGCTGACAAAACATGGCGATTTGGGCATGGGAAGTAACACCGGCAAGAAGAACAGAGTACGAATCCATATTTACCTTGAGATATATGTCGACTGCGCGGTAAATACCGTCATCCAGTGGCCTGGCATAATCAGGGATAACTGCAGCAATGGACTCGAATTTCGGCAACTTCAAGTTAACATCTGTTGCCACCTCGGCAAGATAACCATCCACCAAGTTGGCCACCATTGTTATCGGAGTCAGAGAGTGAGGGCCTCCCATCAATTGCCCCTCATCTGGTACGCAGCTCGAGATGGGATCGGATGCATCGCGGTCTACCACCATGAAATGATCAAGAATCCGTTGAATACACTCGATATCATAAAGAGTCTCCATCGAATGGCTGACATTGGGAATAAGGAGGTCCTCGAGCACCGCTTGATCCAACTGCGACCCGATGCACTTCTCTAGTTTCTCTTTACACATTGGACTGGCCTTTAAGATCATGGATGTTCGAAGAAGCCTGAGCAAGAACGTAGTGGGGGTCACGCCCTTCTGATCTGGGAGTAACTCCACTATCTCTTCAAGAAGATTCCGTTGATCATCATCAGATAAGGAAGAAATGGTCGACCCTGATGCAGGGAACTCACCGCTGTCGAAGCCCGAATGCCTGCCCATCAATGGGAGATGCCTCTTTGTATAATGCATGATCGACCCAGCAATTTTCTCGGGCTTCATGCCTCTTGATCCAACAGCAGTGATTAACCGTTTATATAATGATAATCTCAGGTAAGAGACATCCTCGTACCACCAGTCCTCACTTAAGGTACGCGATTTGGAAGCCGTGCGGATTCCATTCCAAAATATGGTACCTACTGGACTCTTCACGTCGCTGTCTCCCGATACGGGCCAACTAAACAGACTAACGTCCGCACAAGCTTTCATCGCCAAGGAAGTGATGCATCTCGATACGATATGAACCTCTTCGGCGCGCGATAGAACCTCTTCACAGGTCTCGAGAGCCTTGATTGAGTCGGTCCAGTTGCCAAAGATCTCATTCAGGAACTTTTCTGTCTGCATGATGAGATTTTCCTCTCCATAGTCTTCGTTCATTTGGAAATATTCGGCTGCGCATCGGAGGCTCACTGCATTTGCTGGAGTGAGCTCGATTTTGACACCATAACAGAACTTGGCCACGAGGAGAAAAGCATTGGCACCGCCGGGAACGTCATGAAGTTGCAATGTGCAGTTTTGCTCGTCCTTACCTGAAGCTTCTCCTATGAGGCTTTCTAGTACCCCACTTCTAGATAGCAATGGAAACTGATTTGCATGCCAAAAACATAAGAATTAGAAACTAATTGTGCGACAGAAGCAAGAGAATTCTCAACCCAAAATGGAGACACAATTTCAAGCATAATCACAGGTAGTGGAGATGTTCTTTCGTCATAATACCGTGAAAGGACAGCAAAAAAAACCAAGGAAAGTATAGGAAGAGATCGACTACAAAACATGGGGCAGCATAATTAGACAGTTACCTGCCAGTGCATTTAGCCTCTGTACTTATTCTCTGAGAATTTTTCCAAATTTTCTCAAAGCAACTATGTATATCGAATCAGTTCGTTTCCAACTTAAATGCTAAGGAGAATGGTCACCTTCAGTTGCCACACAACTTATTCTATTCCCAACACAGTCTAAGACTAAATCTTTGTCCGATGATCATACTACCTCAAAGTGAAACCATTTTGAGCTATGCTATAGACCCGACACAAAAGCGGTTCTAGCAGACTCTCGTTTTCATGATAAACATGAACTTCTGTCGGTTTTCTTCAGACATATTCAGTAACCGCAGTTAATTTGAATAGTATGATATCTTCAATATCTAAAGTGCAACCCCATCATGCCCACCACAAAAAACTTTCACAATGTGCAGAAGACTGAAAATTGTAAGACCGAAAACAAATTCATGTGATAACATGATGTATGATGATATTTGGTATCAGTTTGGCTGACACGACGTTCTTACTGTAATAGAATGAATCCAGAAAGAGTTGTATGTAGAATGAACATGATCATTCAATAGAACTTTAAAGTAATGTAAAAGCTGATTAATCATATCATGAACTGGTTCTATTAGTTTGGTAAACCTGAAAAAGAAAATATTTGGCTATCGCACTAGCATATTGAGTGGCTTAATGAAAACTGTTTCAGCCGGTCTTTTTCCTTGTTGCCATTTGCATTATCAAGGTATTACACCTTAAGTATAAGGCATAAGAAGCAGGCCATACCTTGTGTAGATGGAAGGACACATCTCCAACTTCAACAGTGACATCACTTGGAAGCCCGGTTGAGCTAACCCTGGAAAATACGACAAAAATGGATCAGTCAATTCTTTTGTCCACAAATCAAATTGTGATTTACCTTCTCATTGGCGTTATAAGTTTCTAAATCAGTTAGTGCAGCATCTATTGGATATCACATAATTGTGAGGACCACCTATTCACCAGATACAAATACTATCTAGTATGCTGCTTTGCGTAACCACTAAAATGCGGATGATTCTGTCTTTTGAACATTTTTACCGTTTGGTGAGTATAATTATCTAAGAAACAGTCTACCGTGCATCGAGCCTGACCTAGAGTCGAAAGATAATAATTAAATTAGTATTACTATAGACCAGTTCGAACCCCGACCATTTCTTCTGCAATAAGATGCTGCTAGCCATCATGCCCTTCTCTTTCAATCCCAAATTTACGAAAACTGTTCTCGGAAATGCAACACCCAGTTACATTTAAAATGGCACCGTGAACAAATTGCACCATCCCTAAGTGACTGCATTGGATTTTCCAGACAGGAGAATGACGATCTTGACAGCTAACATGATCAAGTGAAACCAATGTAATCCAGATTAAACATTAAGCAGGTAGATGATCACATCGAAAAACAGAACATGTTCCTACTTCAGCTAAACTGACAAATCATATCACATCTATACTTTGTCCAGGTGAGTCGTCGTAATCTAAACACAGCTCATCCTCACCGCGCGCGGAATCTAACTCTGTTCCATCATCCACGTTCATACGTTCTTCCTTAAATGCTCATCAACCAAGAGACCAGAATTTTCCGAACTTCGTTTTCCCAGATCATCAAATTGCAATTGCATTGCACTAACATCACATGCCCATGTCAGGAAATTCAACACGAACTGTTTACCAAGCAAGTGAATACTAAGAATGGCGGGTGAACCACAAAGGAAAACGAAGATGGTGAGAATGGAGACAAAAACCAGGTATTGCCATCAAGGTGAAACACTTCAGACTTCGATCCCAGCTTCATGCACGCCATCAGCAACTTCAGTTTTAACACACGCACACACACGAGTCCTCCTCAGTTCTCAGTCACCATAACCCTTTCTCCACTCAACACACAGTGTGACACAAACTAAGAAAGGAGAGAGCGTGATCTTGAGGACCCAAAAACGAGTGATTCTTTCTTGTAAAACTAAAAGAAAAAGAAAAAAGAAAGGTGAAAGTTGGGGGGTTGAGTGAAGATAATTTCCACTTTTGACTGTGCAAGTCGCTCGCAGCTCTTTTCTTGCGGGGAAGAGAACAATGATGGTCCCGCGTCAAATGGGAAAGTCGAGAGGAAAAGGCCAAAAGATTTGCCACCCTTTTTGTTTTTCCATTTCTTCTTACTTTTTTGTTCGACACGTGAACGTTGGTTCTCAACAAATTATCTGCAGTGAACTGGGGAATGAATCTCGTGCTTGGAATTGGTCCATTCTACGTCTGAAAAACTACGCACCCCCATTTTCGGATCGAGTACGATCTTCCGAGCGGTCACTTTCATGCTGTAACGAGAAAGAAAAATTTGGCTAGAAGGTTAACCAAAATTGGAACTACATGTGATTGATTCGATTATGGAATCACGATAAAGTCATTTGTTCGGTGGTTATATTGTCTTTTATTTGGATCAAAGTAACGTGCGACTTGAAGGACATGATCGATCATGGATTCTTACATCCGCCCTATTTTTTGTATAGGAATGAAGGTGCTCTTTACTCAGCAGCCTTTATTTTGTTCTACTAGAACCCTAATTTTTGGGGGGTTTTAGTGTAAATATTATGTGACGTAGCTCGAATAGAAAGTATTGATTTATTTCTCAGAGCAAAAATCTAGGGTTTAGTGCTAATTAATAAGTTGGAACAACTTTGTAAGTGTAGCCTATTTTCGATTTCTAAATCGAAAGTATCCAATTCGAGCAAATTTCAAATCAAAAAAGGAAAATTTGTTGCAATTAGGGAAACTCAGTTTGATCAAAAGTGTATCGTGTTAGAGTCGGTCATTTATGATTCTTTAATAGAAATAAATCAGAAAGAGGGGTATGTTGTTGCCGTTTTGGAATGATTAAGAATCAACAAAGTAATGTCTAAACCCAATGATTCAAAAGCAAAGATAAAATATCTTGGAACACGGAAATATCATTTTTTTAGTTGTCTTGACAACTAGATCAAGAATAAGAATGAGGAGTCCAAATATATTCTAAATGAGACAAAGAAAAAGGAGTTAAAATTGGATACATAGACATATCTTCTAATATCTCGAGCCGTACAGGGAGAAAACTTCGTATATATTTCTAGGGAGGGCTCTAGCTTATCTAAATCTATCCCATTGAGCCGTTTATCAAATCGTTGCAATTGATGTTCGATCCTGAAGAGAAGGAAAAGATCTTTGGAAAATGGGTTTCTATGATCCGATAAATAATCAAACATATTTAAACTGTATTTCCTTAGAACATACGCTCAACCTACATGAACTATGTATGATATTTTAAAGAAGGTGCGGGCTTAAAATAATTTCATCTTAATTAAAAAAAAGTCAATTAATGAAATACAAAAAGAAGAAGAAGAAGAAGAGGGTATGGGTGATCCGTATATATAGCTTTGTATAAGTTTTTTTCTACCATACTTTCCCCACTCCCTCCTCTTCTTTTGCTCTATTTATACTTGTTTTTAGGCCTAATTCGCTAAAAAAACCCCCAATTTTAGGTCAAGTCTCAAATCTGTCCCGAACTTTTTTTTGTCTCAGAAAAAATCTCAAACTTTAGGTTCAGTTCCAAATCTGCCCCGAACTTTTTTCTCTCTCAGAAAAAACCCCAAACTTTAAATCCAGTTCCAAATCTGTCCCGAACTTTTTTCTCTCTCAGAAAAAACCCTAAACTTTAAAAACAGTCCTAAATCTGCTCCGAACTTTTTTCTCTCTCAGAAAAAACCCCAAACTTTAAATCCAATCCCAAATCTGCCATGAATTTTGTTTTGTGTAAAAAAAATCACCGAAATTCAATTTTTTTTCAAAAATATACCCTCGTAATCTAGCTCCAACTTGATATGGCACTTCCACATCGATAACAAATCCACATCAACAAAGTAATGGGGCTTTTATTTAGATAAAGAAAAGTTCAGAGCAAATTTGGACCGAACCTAAAAATTATGTTTTTTTTAAATTAAAAAAAGTTTTTTGGGGTGGATTTGTTGTCGTCCCTAACTTTCATATCCTAAAATGGTTTTATTTTGAAGAATTTCAACAATTTTTATTGGGTTGGATTGTTTATCGAAGTGGAAATGTGACGTCAGTCTATACCTATCGCCTCATTACTTTGTTAATATGGATTTGTTATCGACGTGGAAGTGCCATGTCAAGTTGGGACTGTATCACGGGGTATATTTTTGAAAATAAATTGAAGTATGCTAATTTTTTTTACACAAAACAAAATTCGAGGCAAATTTGGGATTGAACTTAAAGTTTGGGGTTTTTCCGAGAAAAAAAAAAGTTCGGGGTAGATTTGAGACTTGATCTAAAGTTTGGGGTTTTTTCTAAGACAAAAAAAAATTGATTACTCATTATGTATAGTTAAAAATTTTTAAAGGGTTAACTAATGTAGAAAAAATGATTGATTAACAAAAATATCTGAAAAAATTGTAAAAGGAAAGACGTCCTTAACTCACAAAGGAAAATGAATAATTGAAACCTAACGTTATATTTTCAGAAAAGAAATTCATTAATCAATCGTTTCTTAAAGTTAATTAACCATTTAAAAGTTCATTATGAGTATCCATTTCCTGTAATTTGAAATCTTTTGTTATGGAGACCTTTTGTTCCTTTTTACTTAATCGTGTTTCTTTTTATCAGTTCTCGTAATAATTTATCAAATTTCAACAATTGTATTTTTAATACAAAATAGTACATCAATGTTCTAGTTAATTTATTTTCTGTAATTCTAAGATTGTTTTTTCATTTTCATAGAAATTCGGGTAAAAGAAAGATCTCCTTAAAAAAATTATATGAAAATACGCTTTCATCCCATAAAAGTCACGCGCATTGCACGTACCAACGTAAATATAAAAAAAATTTAACGACAGCAAAATGAAAATTTACGGCCGTAATGTAATGTGTAACAATTGAAAGTTACTATGGTAAACGTGCGCTACCGCCCCCACCCCCCGAAATCAATACAAATACGGCCATGGCATGGGCCCCATGTGGGCCGTGAGGGCCAGCCCGACCCACACGTGTCGGCCCAAAAGGGGTCCATCAAGCCCTACGGAAGGCCCTTTGGGCCCATGTACAGTAGTCCGACAAATACTTAATCAGTGGTTGTTGGGGCTATTGAACAATGGCTGTTTCCGACCGAAAAAAAAAGAAAGAACAACGGCTGTTGGCATCGACAATAAAAAAAAAAACAGCAGCTGTTGGCTAATTATAAAAAAAATTCGCCGGGTCGGCCCGTTTTCCAACCCTAGTACATTAAGAGAACGGTTATAATCTCGTATTTAAGCGATGCGAAATGCTTTTTCAATATCATTCATCCACCGTCAATCTTTACCAAAAAAAAAAATGTGTGGGATCTTAGCTTAAGATAGCTCACAAATCTTGATGGCTTACCAAAAATGTAAATGTCCTAAATTAGAAGTGTGATGGAACATCTAATGAAAATACCTTGTTATTGCAATAATCTAAAGTATAATGTCTTGACATTTTCTGTCAGTATAGATACCGAATCTATATAATGGGGTTGAATGTATTTATAAACTATATAAAACTTTCGGATCCCTTTGAGAAAACTAAATAGGAATAAGTGCACTGAAAGCCCCGGAACTCGTCACGAAAGTGTAATCAAGTCCTAAAATTTTTAAAAAATACAATAAATAGAAATATTTGATTGGATCGATTTAATAAGTTTTATCACTTGATTGCATATTTTGAAAGTTTTAGGAGTCAATTACACTTTTGCGATAAGTTTTAAAAATTAATTGCACTTTTTAAAATTTTTAGAATACAATTGTACTTTTGTAACAGGATTTAAGATTTCATTGTACTTATCTCAGCTAAATATAAAGAAGCTCGTTTTATGGATATTGCCCCCATCTAACTTTACCCACCCATTGTACAAGTTTCGGCCATATGGCAGCCCAATGAAAGAAGGCCCAATGTCTTGATGAGAAGTTGGGGATCTAAAGCTAGTCATCAAGGCCCATTTAATATAAAAAAAAAAATATCCTTCCAAAATTTGATTAAAAAGAGTCATGTCAATCCAAAAAAAAGGTTCCGAACAAAAAAATATCCAAAAAATGGGAAAATAAAAAACAGAGAAGAAGATATCCTCTTAAAATTTCGTTTTACGAAAATCATTGGAATCTGGTAGCATGTGTCAATTTATTTAATTATAATAAATCAATTTTCATATGAATTTGAAAGAGTTCCTGAAACAAATGCTTTAGCATATTTCAATTGTTTCTACTCATACTATTTACGTCGGGGATTATTTTGAATATTTTTTCTTTCATTGCCAAAGTGCCCGCACGAAGGTAATGCCTTGCATGAACAATTCATTCATGTTTAATTACCAAGTAACTAATGTTCCATTATCGAACATCTAATGCAATCATTCCCAAATCGCATTGCTTTTCTTTTGATTTTTCGTGAAAATGTACTTTCTAAATTAAAGAACCTGATAATCTAAGTTTCAAAAGTACTTTATGGTTTTAAAAAACCGATCTAATTGGCAAGAAGAGATCACAACGCTATCTTTTTCAATTCCGACATTGGAAAAAAAATCAATTTTTTGTTTGCATGACCACAGTTAATATTTATTCATTACAGCTATTAATTTGGGGTGAATGCAACACGATCGTATCGATCTGACATTTCGGCGATATAAATGCTTGAAAATAATAATTCATGGGAGTTATTTTGGAAATGGAGTTGGAAACTTTCCAAATTGGACTTTGTCTGCCATTTTCTCCATCATGACCGGCGTGGATTGCCACTCCCACATTTAGGCATGTCTCCACATCTCATCAACGACAAAAAAAATTCCATAAGAAATTTCACCCGCGAGAATCCCCCCAAAAAAAAAAAAACAACGCCACTCCTCCAATGGGCAATAATGGAAAATCGCAAGGGCTCCCTAGCAAAATGTAAAAAAATAAATTTCCCCCCCGCGTTGTCCCCACGTCGTGTTGGACTTATTAAGGGCACCCACGTGGCACGTGGCCACGTCCGAAGATCTTTCCA